AAAAAAAAAAAAACAAAAAAACGAAAAAGAAAAAAAGAAAAAACTGTAGCTGCGTAGACAAAATCATCGTTGAATTCGCAAACGAATACACTTCTCATTATCCTCGATTACACGAAACAGAGAGAGAGAATATTCGTACGGCGCGTGTCAACGTGTTTATTTAAAGAAATGAAATTCTAAGTGAAGAGATGGGAAGATTTTCGATGGTGGAGGAAATAAGCGGTAAGATCCTACAGAAATATATATATATATATATATATATAAAACTTAAGTGAAAAACATTAAGCGTTAACGAATGACACGCCGGTAAGAACGCCATAGCAAAGGAGAGAAAAGAAAAAAAAGAATTAAGATAATACTCAGCAACACATTGTTAAAGAAAATGCAGATAATAAGAACGAAACAATTATATAATTTTAGCGTCTTTAAGATCGGTGAACACATTGATGAACCTTCAAAAGCATCTTGGCCTGTTCGTCGTGTTTAACCGATGGAACAGCGAATTCTTCGGAACAGAATTCTTAGGAACTCCACGTTTATTGTTGTTAATAGTTTCTATATATACATACATACATATATATATTTTTTTTCTCTTTCGTATCTTTTTTATTCACGTTGCTTTTCATTGATACGCTTTCACCCACGATCCAGCACTTCCCGTTCCGAACGATTCGCTTGTCCAACAACGAGAGAAGCCTCGGCAGATAATAATTATAGGAATAGATGTATAACTATCGTTAATGTTTTTAAACTTTATTCGAAATGAACTGTGCGTGATTTTTGAGGCAGCGAATGGCCGAACGGTTTATCCTAAGGGAGGCAACGTTAGTAAAGCATTAAGGGTAGCATGGCTCTTCGAGCATTGTAAAAGTAATGAGAACTTTCTTGTTTGAACAGAACTTAGGATTTGCAAAGACTTCCGGTAATTCACGGCTTAACACTGGAACTACCAGAGACGATTAGTTATTAGTAATTTTTCATAGAGATTTTATAAATTTTATAAAAAAAATACAGTTTTATTTCTTGTCAAACATTTAGACGAAAGCTTGTGTGTGTTCTTTATTGCATTAACCCCTTCAGGTCCACTTCCCTAATATTGCGTTTGTTCCACTTTTACATGCACAATCTCTTACAACGTATGTACAAAAATAGAAGTTCCTTTTCAAAAAAAAATATATGTTTCACGCCAGAAATATTTTTAGTATAATAAAGGTAAAAGAATCAGCAAGCAATATAGTAAAGAATGAAAAGTACAATAAAACAAAAGAAGCTGTTTCTTCCTGGCACAGTTCTTTAGAACTGAGCGAACCCTTAAGGGGTTCGTAATTAAAAATTGTTATGTTTCGAGCAATTTCGGAGCTGTCGGTAGTTCCAGTGTTAATTAAGTCAGAAGATATTGCATGACCATTTAAACAAAAAGGTTTTCATTGTTCTTACGCGTTGAACACCGAATCATTTATCCGATCAGATATATAAACACGTATGAGATATAGATCTACTTGTATGTCTCTGTTCCACTCGTGTCGATCGATCAATCGGGGAAATATACAGTGACGATTTTTTTCATTCTTGTTCCATCAATAATCCTATCGGTGGGAATCGTTCAAAATGATCTGTAAATCATTGTTAAAGATACGCACGCGATTGTAGTTGCGAGGAAAGACAAATGCGAAGTTGGACCTTCGGTTTCTTGAGACTTGGGACTGAAAATTGTATCCACATAATGCTTCGGATGTTGTGCAATCCAGGCATCGAGCAATGATTTTGTAACTTCGCCAATACGATTACCTCCTGTTTATGAGTTATGAGTTTTTCATTGAATTTTTTTCCAGTAGAAGTTTACAAATATTAGATCGGTGCATGTGGAACGCCATCCTTCAGATATAACTTCAATTGTCGTTTCTTTGGAACGTTATACATTGTAATTCATCTTTTTCTATCGTAACTAACAATTAAATTCCAAAGTTATAAGAACTATCAATTTGAAAGTAGAAAATTTTTTAGAATGTTACTGTTACTGCGTTGTTCACAGACTTGGGCATCATTTGTTGCGAATCATTGTTTAAGTAACATATCATTTCATTTGAATAAGCAAATGATAGAATATGTAATCGAAAATGTGTAAAAAGTGGCAACTGACGATATTTCGTCGGAAGCTCTTCAATTGACAAAGTCAAGAAACAACATTTCACATGCACCAACTTAATATCAGTTGCTTGATGACGTTCAGGCGTTGACTGCGAGGACATTTACTACTTTAAGTTCATAATCGGTGAAAAGCAGAATACACGAAGTATCGAGCAAGTATTAAAATGCCATAGGTAGACTCTAGGCCGAAGGTCGCATCGATTGGCAGTAACGGCTGTAAGATTTTCACGTCATTTTGTGACATTATTATTCTATTAGCCGATGAAGTAATTACATAATTAATTGTTCGAGTATCGCCAGTAGCGTTTTTGAACAAGTAGTCCACGCGTTTCGGGCAACAATACTGCTTCTGTTTTTTTTTCTTTTTTCCTGGCGAAGTTATGCCGTTACACGTTACTAACCAGATAGAGAGAAATCGACGATAGAAATATTTTCGAGAAGAACTAGAAAGAATAAATAAATAAAAAAAAAAAAATTAAAAAAAAATGATGTACGTCCAAGTTATAAAGCGTCAGCGTGCAAGGTGAGAATTGTTTGCTAAATTTTATTTACATTTGTTACCGCGTATACATACGTATATATTTAATTTAATATCGTATGTGATTGTAACTTGTGAGAGAATCAACTGGTTTGCTCGCACGTGATTATGCTTATTTATCGTTGCGCCCGGTAACTGTATGGTTTTAGTATGGGAAAACTCTAGGAAATGTTCTGTTTTTCTTCGAAACAGGAGGAGGACAGTAGGACGTTCGTTAATGCAAGTTGGTTAATTATTAATTACTTCATTAAATCATCATATTAAACGGAAAGGAATAAGTCTGTCTGAATTGGATGACGAATTAGGTAGTATAATTTAATTATCGTTACAGTAAGACCATATCATTACGATTAACTCTTTAGACATTAATTAAAACAAAAAAGCAAAAAAAAAAAAAAAACACTATGTATAATCGTAGTCCGTAATAACAAACAATTTATCATTGTACTATCATTTGGCGATACTTTTTGCCGTGAAACCGGTATTTCCGATTTAGCGTTGGTATTATTCGATTTTTGTTCGCGGATCATCTTGTTATAAGAGTCGGAAGATCGATAAATGCGGAAATGGAAGTGGAAGGGCAAAAAAAAGGAGAAAGAAAACGAAGAAAAAAAAAACGCAGAAAACATAACAACCGTCCATCTTTATTGATATCGATCTCTGCACATAGTCCGGCAATTCGAACTCGCTCAGGATTATTACTTCTCTCTGTGTAATTTCGCAGATTTCAGGTTACGCTTGCTATACAATGTCGCTTATGTAAGATAATGTTTCGTGATTTTGCGCGTCGTTATAACAATGGCAAACAACCGATGCTCCCGACGTTCCCTCTCGGGTCGTTTCGAAACAACCCGGCACCCCTGTCGATCGATACTTCTTGTCGAATCTTCCGCTCGAGTTGCCGAACTTTCTTCCAAACTAATCGCCAGTCCCTCTTCTCGCTGTTCGAAACTTCGTTCGAAACTCCGACGCAAGTTCCTGTCGCGAAGATATCAACTCTTCGACATTGAAGAAGCCGCGAGTAAAGATTCTAACGAAAACAACTCTTCTGGGAAAATCTGTTGAAGTTCCCGGACCGCGAACGAGTAACTGCTAGTATCCGATCGGAAGCGGCGCAAACACGCTCGCTCACGCGCTCTGATTTGGTCACTCACGGTGTTTATCGATATCGGTTGTCCGTGGGCGGAAAAGAGGGACATATCTTTGTACATATAAATATATATAAGTACGTGACGCTCGTTTCTATATACTCGTGAACGCGTGCGAATCGCGGCGAACGTGTGTGAGGACGCGCGGACGCGTTACCGATACATTGAACGCGTTCTCGGAAGATATCGCTAAGTGGTCGCCGATATAAGGAACGGAAGATCAGTCTAAAACCACCTGTCCTCGAACGTGGTAGTTCTCTCGTCTAATCGTGCGCGTGGTAGGATTTAAGCTCGGGCTAAGGTGATAGTTGCTTGTGATCGATCGAGTTGCTTCCGTACGATCGAACGATCCCCGGTACAATGGAGAGATTGAAGAAGAAACGGAAAAGGACCGACAATCAAAAGGTGAGTGAACTTATTTTTCCCTTTATAATTTTTTCCTTTTTTTTCTTCATTTCGTTTCAACAACGTAATTCAAGTGCTTTCGAACAATAAAATCGATAACGGTTTTAATAGGTTTTCTAATAGTATCGGCTTCGAAAAGCCTTCGAAGCGATAAGAATCCGCTTCAAGTCGGTATGTTGCGTGCGCGTTCTTTGCAATTGCATTTGATGCTCTATTTTTTGGTTGCCAGATTTTGACAGATTTTGTTGACAGCTTTTATCGACAGATTTATTTTACAGACCTTTTTGTAGAATGACGATTAACTTTGGGGAATTTCAAGCTCAAATGATTGCTTTCCCGCTCTTGAATTTGTCTCCGAGGATTTTTGACGGGATTTTTTTGTTTTTTTACGGAATGACGATTAACGATTAATGTAGAGAACTTTGAGATACTTTTCTTTGTTTTAAAGTCGTTTCTGTCGTTAAAGTCTTCCATTTTCTGAAGTGTCGCGGTTTAATGGAAATTTAGTGCACGAATAAACCAAGATGTTATGCAATATTGACAGCCGTTCAACAATTGACGTGTTGATTTACACATCTCGAAGTTACATCCCGGTCTGTTGTTCATCCGTTCAAGAACAATACACTTGCTAAAATAAAATTGTTATCAAGGAGTCCTACGAAGTAACAACACGTTTTTATACGAGTGTTTTCATTCGTTAATTTGCGATAATTAATAATGAATAATAACGATAAAATTTCACCGAAGAAAACAATGAGCTAATGCTCGCGTCGAGGCAAGATCTATTCGAACTAGAGGTACTTTCGTCGTAAATCATCTTTATTTAGGAATCCTATCGCTTCCTGTTAAACAGTCTCACTGACGTCAAAAAGATTATCTAGCCTTTTTCATTAGTCTACTTTTAAAATTACTTTTAAAATTAAAACTTTCAAGTTACAATTAAAACGATGCAAAATGCATGGATACGCGATATACTTAAAGAAGTAATTTTTTTCAACAGTACTTTTACTTCATATTTTTGTTACAGTTTTATTCAACTTTATCTTTGCCAAAATCAATCTGATTTATGGACCTATCGACTACTGTGTATTTTCTCATTGTATCCTCAAATTCGCTTTCTAGATCCTGTATTTTTAGGAACAGAGTATCTCATATGACAAACAATTATAAAAAAATTACAGATTCACACGAGCTATCAATCAATTCAATGAATTAACTGTAGTAGCTTTGCTGCCAGTGATATTTGTCGACGAATGACTCGACGTACGAAAGTTTCTGTTGTTTCTACTTTTTTTTCTTTTAGTCATAGTTTCTACAGCTATTGTTGTTTCGACCATTCTCGGCGCAGAAATATTTTTCTAACGATAATAAATATCTCCTTACCGAACAAAGTACGTATAAAAGATGTTTTATTAATAGGCTATGGATTTTCATAAAATGCAAAGTCGCATGCAGAATGTACGTACGTGATATGAAAAAAATATATAAAGTATTCAAATCATAGTGCTATCTGCAATATTTATTAAACAGGTTTTAACAATTTGCATAAAAATCTGCGATCTACTTTCAATGTTATATTTAAAATTCTCTTAAAACTTCATTTTTGTCTTCTGAAATAAAAGTTATGAATAACTGAAAAATCAAGAACTATAGCAGGATTAAAATCATCGCTTGCATAACAGAGTCGCATGATCGAATTCAACTTTATAACTAGACTGAAGTCGTGTGGAAAATCCAGCAAACTTGTTTTCGATGAGACGTCGATGGCTTAGAAGTATCTTATTATTTTACGTATCTTATTAAACTCTTTGCCAAAGTGAGATTGTAATTAATTTTGGCGGGAAAATACTGGCAAGGGGTAAAAATATGGAAAATCGAAGCGTATCGAGATGAGGATAAAACCTGGCGTTAATATCGCATCGAGATATACAACTTGTCCTTTCGTTCGAGGTCGAAAGTCATCTTGCTATTTCTACGGCTGTTAACCTAATTTTACGGAAAACTTGCATCTCCTCAATCGTGCGAATGAGATCACCGTTCTTCATTTTTTTCTCCTTATTTTCAGCATTCAAATTGCAAAATCCACGAGATTCGAACGTCAGCGAAACGCGAAACAATGATGGTCGCTCGATGTTCTTTGAAACAAAACGCTTTTGTGATGGTGATTCTACTCGAATTAAAATTTATTTATATCCTACAAAAAAGAGGCGAAGAAAAACGGTGACTATATAAATCGTGCAATTAACAGTCAATCTAGCATTTTATTTAATATGATATAAAAAAAATCCGATTTATAGGGTTTCCTACTTATAATTAGATTGCGAATTTTTATGCAAATTTATACTTTTGAAAATATAATTTAAATAATAGAATTTCGATAGGAAATTTTTCTACGTGACAAATATTATAGGAAGCACTACGCTTTAAATACTTTGTGTATTTTTTTATATTTGTACTTTATGTGCGAGTTTAACTTTAAAATTTCTTACGAATTCGTGAAAATCATCATATTATACTAAGTAACATTATTCTCCACCAGTTCAAATATGTAAAACGAGGTTCTCTAATTTAATTTTAGATCTTATCTTGGCTAACCATTTGCAATAATTAAACTACGTTACACCGCCAAATGTAACAAAAATCAATCTTTTTATCGAACGGTCCAAAAAAAATTAGCTGCAAATGAAAGACAGAAATCAAATCGTCGAAAAATTTTTAATTTGAAAATTTATTTTTTTCTTTCGTTCTTGTCCCATTTTTTCCCCGAGAAGAATTGATTACTGTGAACCGCTTTGCAGAATAAATGCGAAAACAGGTCGTCACGCGCGGATCGTGGATCACGAGGAAGCTGAGTAATGCATTCAACGTATGAATTTTTATCGCGTGGCATTAATCAAAATGTTCTTTTCCTACTTATCGAAAGTTAGTTTATCAATAATGAAGTAACGCCTAAGAAAATAGTTGGTTTGTTAATCGCGGCCGATTTAAAGCACCACAGTTCTTTTAATCGCTTTATTGTCTCGTTTGTTTGAAACTCTGTTCATTGCTCTGCTCAGCGTAAACAAGATATAGTCCCCCTGATAATACCATTGGACGTATACAATTTGCAAATATATTTGCAGTGTAGCGAATAAATGCAACACGTAAGAGGATCCTACTTAATTGCCTATTGGATTGTAGTATTACTTGATGATATTTGCAACCGTGATTTTATACTTATGTAATATTTGCTTTTGTCAAACATGCTACTGAATTAGATTTGAATCTTCGTACTGCTAAAATCTCTGTTTCGATCAATTAATTACTTCTACAAATGATTATATATAGTCCTTCTTGTAAATCAATCTTTCGCCTGGTGTTCGATCCTCGAAGAATCTTTTTTCTACATTTTTATTATTCAGAAGGCTAAAATCAACGAGGAGAATCGAACAAAAGACTTGGAATTCACCTCGTATCAGTAAAAATAGGGAACAAGATAGCACACGTGATACGCAAGCCATTATCAGTTTTCATTATGTAATTTGTATACGTCAAAGTGTCAGCCCGATGCTACTTTCAATGATTAATCGAGTGTAAATACTGTATAATCCAACCGCTCTTCAATGAGCTCGTTCGAGAACGATTAAAGATTTATAAAGAACTAATCTTTAAAGTTTAAGCTTGTATTTCGTCGTCTTTCACACTCGGATTGTAAAGATTATTAATCTCTGATATTTGCAACGACGGCGCTGTATTTCAATTCTTTCTTATCTTTTCTATTTTTGATTAAACAATTTAATCTCGAAGTTCCTCTCATAAGTTTAGATATGTAGCGACGAAAACTGTATTGGCCCGTAGATTAAATTAATATAATTAATATTTATGGAGTATATTAAGTTTATCTGTCGTTGAGATCAAAACAGCAATATCTATTGTGGTATTAAAAAAATACAGAACTAGATGTAACAAATCTTGTATCATCGGTTCGATTCAACTTCTCAACTTCAACTGTGCAACAAAGTTTTTTAATTAAATACAATCTTATAGAAACAAAATCATGTAGTTTCCTACGAAACTAATTATTTTAATTACTCACTACCGGAATATTAAAATTCCGGTTTTTTATTATAACATTGTACAAGTAACGAACAAGTATATTTTTAGATATTTATTTACGTCATGCGCATTTTTTAACCATGTAATAGTCTATGACAGTTCGAACTATAAAGAGGTCCATAAAAAAACCAACGTCAGACTTTTTTCCTACGATTGTTAGGACAGAATGTCAAGTAAGTTTCAAGTACGGTCTCTCTGTAGTTTTCAAGTTTTTAGAACTTCGAATTATTACTTCTCGAATAATAAAAGTGTTGCCGCTGCCACGTTTGAAAACGACGATCCTCTTTTTACTTGGGTTCGACTGACGCCCAGCCACGTATAGCTTTAATACCACAAATGCAATGAAACATATTTGAATTCGTTTAGACATAAAATAGCAATCAAGTGAATCACCATAAATGATTCTTTTTATAAAAAAAAATTAGTTTCTCATCTTCTACAATTACAATCATTTCTCCCCAAAGCAAAACAAATTGTAAAATTTGATATATTATTATTTTTATATTTTGTATAAAATTAAATATATTCTAACCGAATTCAACTGCAATAACTCAATAATTTCAAGCTTCGAAACGATGACATATACTTGCATCAACACATGTGTAGAGATGAGAAGTTCTCCGAAAAGAATATGGGTCTGGTTGGGTATTTCCAATCCATTCTTAAATTTAAGAATACCCATTGGTTGAAAGTGTCACGCAGGACAAACAAAATCGAGTGGGTCGGTTACTGAGAGAAGGAACTGCTTCCTTTGCTCTTACATGGGACTTTTCATTTTTGTATACATTACAGCTATATATAACTGAAAATATACAATTTGCAATTCGTCAGTAGATGGTACTAAAAGTGAAATTTCTGTAGCGAATGATTTTATGTATAATGTAAGGTTATAAAGGATATAGAAGGTCGAGTGTATTTCGTCTCACAACAGTGTCACCACTAGATTCATCAAGGGTTGATGCCGGCGATCCCTAACCTCAGACGCTCAGTTTATTAGGAACCTCTAGCTTGGATCAAGAAACTCGTAGAGGTGTTCTGCACGCTGCACAGTTAACCTACAGATTACACTTGATTCATAGCTAAGCGATATTCACTTACGATTTGTAATATTCGTTTTTTGAACTGGTATACTAATCAAAGATTGGATGTGTTAGCCGCTAGAGGTATTAAAATACCAGCGTCGCGTAGTGGTGAAACAATGGAAATAATTTATATTGTTGTCCTTGTTGTACACTCTCCTTGTCTACGGCGTGAATATGTCTGTCCTTGTCCCACTACTACCCTCTTTGTCTACCGCACAGACATGTCTGTCCTTGCCCCACGTTATCGCCCTCCTTGTCTACCGCGTCTATATGTCTGTCCTTGTCGCACAATAGGGCCCTCCTTGTCTAATGACGTTAGACAAGGAAAGCAACAGTGTGCGAGAAGGACAACCTTCGATCTATTAAAAAAAAATTCAACTTTCTACACACACGTTTTTCCAGGACAAAACACATAGAATGAAAGCGGGGAGCCTAAATCTAAGGAAGCATATAAAAAAGATCGCAAATTAATCCTCTTAATTAGGTTTTTTTCTTAATTAGTGCGAACTGTCACAAAAGGGGCATGGTGGCGCCATCTAGCAGTAACTCAGTGGTACTAATTTTTTATGAAAATATTTATTTTGACATTTTACGGGTCAAATGGGGTGTGACAAGAAAGCTAATGGTCTAATTAGGGTAATACAATCGCCAAAGTTCGCGATTCATTTCGCTAAATTAGGTTTTTTCGCAAATGAAAATTTCTCTGTTTTACGGGGTAAGAAATACTAGCGCCACGTTGTGGCAGACCGGTGGAACTAAACGCTCTATAACCATATAAAGGGAATAATTAATTTTAATTTTTCACGCCACAAATTTGCACTCCACGAGCATATATTTCCAAAATAATGCTATCAATTACGTTCGAGAATAAATCTGAATCTAATATTCACTATAGTTTGCACGAAATTATGCATTCACTACTGGCACTATTGCTAACGTAAACGAAATTGAAACATTCTTCATATAGGTAAACTATACTTAAACAAAACATAAAACGCAAGCCTAGGGTCTCTAAAATCGAAAACGCAGCCATAACAGTTCACAAATGATTCCTCTTAATTAATTTCTACCTGTAATTTGTAGAAAAACTTTCACCTGTCAGTTTAAAAACGACGGTGGCACCATCTATTGATAACTCGGTGGTACTAAAAACAAAATTTTCTGTTTTTAGTACCACCGAGTTATCAATAGATGGCGCCACCGTCGTTTTTAAACATTGACAGGTGAAAGTTTTTCCACAAATTACGGGAAGAAATTAATTAAGAGGAATCATTTGTGAACTGTTATGGTTGCGTCTTCGATTTTAGAGACCCTAGGCTTGCGTTTTATGTTTTGTTTAAGTATAGTTTACCTATATAAAGAATGTTTCAATTTCGTTTACGTTAGCAATAGTACCAGTAGTGAATGCATAATTTCGTGCAAACTATAGTGAATATTAGATTCAGATTTATTCTTGAACGTAATTGATTATTTTGGAAATATATGCTCGTGGAGTGCAAATTTGTGGCGTGAAAAATTAAAATTAATTATTCCCTTTATATGGTTATAGAGCGTTTAGTTCCACCGGTCTGCCACAACGCGGCGCTAGTGTTTCCTACCCCGTAAAACAGAGAAATTTTCATTTGCGAAAAAACCGAATTTAGCGAAATGAATCGCGAACTTTGGCGATTGTATTACCCTAATTAGACCATTAGCTTTCTTTTCACACCCCATTTGACCCGTAAAATGCAGAAATAAGTATGTTTATAAAAAATTAGTACCACTGAGTTACCGCTAGATGGCGCCACCATGTCCCTTTTGTGACAGTTCGCATTAATTATGAGAGAAATCTAATTATGAGGATTAATTTGTGAACTTTTTTATATGCTTCCTTAGAATTAGGCTCCTCGCTTTCATTCTATGTGTGTTTTGTCCTGGAAGAACGCGTGTGTAAAAAGTTGAATTTTTTTTTTAATAGATCGAAGGTTGTCCTTCTCGCACACTGTTCTTTTTCCTTGTCTAGCGTCATTAGACAGGGAGGGCACTAGTATGCGACAAGGACAGACATATAGACGCGGTAGACAAGGAGGGCGATAGCGTGGGACAAGGACAGACTAATCTGTGCGGTAGACAAAGAGAATAGTAGCGTGTGACAAGGACAGACATATAGACGCGGTAGACAAAGAGGGCGTTAGCGTCGGACAAGGACAGACATATCTGTGCAGTAGACAAGGAGAGCTACAGCGTGTGACAAGGACAGATATATAGACGCGCTGGACAAGGAGGGCGATAGACATATTCGCGCGGTAGACAAAGAGGGTAACAGCGTGCGATCAGGATAAACAATATAAATTATTTCCAGAAAACCAAGAATTTGGACGTAATTGACAACGTATTAGATACAGCGATTGTCTCTCGTCAATGTGTAAATATAAATAAATATAACTTTATTATTCATGTGATTATTATTTGTTCCTACATGTTCCTATACGAGTTAGGTGTCTGTCACTGTGTTGGTACAATCGGTGAGGACCTCGGTCTGAAGCGACCGTCACTCTGTGTTAATATACTATCGGTGAGCCGTTCGGGCGATCTAAATATGCATTAGTGGAATATCTGTGTGAGTCAGAAGTGACTCCGACACAGGACTGCGAGCTTCAGGCTTCCGAGGGTTAATCGACTTTAACTGGCCAATTCCCTCGACGATGCTTCTCTGATTGCCCCTCTTCCCTCTAATCTTATTCTCCATCCTTATTCTCTTCACGCAGAAAGTGTTGCTCTCCATCGTTGATCCCTGGGACGTCAGAGTGGCCAGTGTCGATCCAGTCGGACTGGCAGAACGACGAGGCGTTTCCTTGTCGATCACACCGCCGCAACAGAGCAACGAGAACAAGCCAGTGGAATCGGTGTCCCCGGGTAGGATAGTCAGGATCCCGTCACCCTGGTACAAACCAGCACACAGCAGCGTTTTGGAACGATTCACCGCTGACGGAGCTGGAATTGAAACCAGCTCTGGCGAACCGACCTGGGTGGATCCTTGGCACTCGTCCAGGTAAAACGATCACTTTCGTTCAACAGCGGGGATCGGCAAGTAGAAATCGATGCTTCATGATCTCTGTTGCTCAGACTTGGTTTCGGGGGGAGAAACCACAAAAATATGCGACTTCTTCGTAACTTAAATTTAGATTTCAGGAAGATGAGGGAGCTTTCTGTAATTTAAATTTAGTCTTTGAGAGTGGAACTTTGTTGCCCGTTAGTTCAAAATCTTCGGGAATTTTTTATAATTTCTTTGAAAGTATATTTTCTATAATTTGAATTTAAATTCAGTTTCTGAGAGTAAAGTAGTTTAGTTTTAATTAAGATAAGCCTCTCTGATGTAATCTTTTGGAAGGGAGACAAATTTTATAAGAATAAATATCGTAAATCAATAGTCGCAATAATCGTTTGTACAATTGTTATAATTATAGAGGGTACAAATTTTTGGGATAGAGGATACAAAGCTGTCTACGATCGGAACTTTTCCAACTGGAAATATATTCCTTCGTATATCTGAGATAAGATGCATGATATTCTGCGTAACCTAGACCTACATTTTGAAAATGTGAAACAAACGGCGCTCCACACATCTTACGTGCAATGGTAACAGTATAATGACCATCTTTTTATCTATACTTCGAAGGTCACCAAGCGGTGGACAGTATCGTTCACCGGAAACGCCCCAAAATCCGGCGAGAAAGAAGGCGTTGAACGAAGGGAAGAGCTCGAGGAGAAGCGGTGGCCTCCGGAACGATCAGGAAATTCCAGACGACAATGGATTAATCGGCGCGACACCGGAAATCACGTGCAATGATGTCGATCACGGGCGCAGTAGTGGAACAGTTGGAAGAGTAGTGCGTTTCGTGAACGAAGAACGTCCTAGGTAGAGCGCGATCTCTATTTGTTGATCTTGGCTCGTGTTGTCTAGCAGACAGTGCAAATAAAAGAAATTGATTAAATTGGACCTGCAGGAGCTCCACTTGGGGATCACGACTGGACCAAATAAATCGTGCGCACAAAGTAAATAATCTATACTCATCGAACACAATCCATTTCCCGAGCGCAAATCACGAAAACGAGAATTATAATTCTACGAGTGAACGAGGTGAGCCTCTACGAGGAAGAACAGAGGACTCTGCGGTGGACGTTGATGGGAATGACGAGGAGAAACGGTGCATGTTGACCAAAAATGATGAGAAGCTTGGTCATGGATTTTTCGAAGACGAAGAGCTTGTGAATGTCGTGCAAAATTTAGTAAACTCGAGGTATTTTGAATCATCTTTTGTATTTTTTTGTTCAATTGCAATTTGATTGCAGTATTAACCCATTTGCATTGCATTACAATATCATTTAACTGATAGTAGTTTATAAAGTTAAATATTTACTATTATGTATTGACTTTGATTGACTTACAGTGAAACCATTAGGGTATAAAGAATAATACGTGTATTGATAAATACATTAATAAGATTTAATAGTAATTATTGATTCTTAATAATTATTTTCAATGTTAAATTATTAATTATAAATTTTATATTTCTTAACATTCAGTATTAATATTGAATTTAATATTAATATTCAATTGTTTATTTGGCGATAAGGAACAAAAATGATTAAAATGCTCTGCTTCGAAATGCAAATGAGTTAATAAAAAGTATAAGTGACACTAATTTTGCTCTATTATTTATTAATACTGATTATTTCCTAAGGTACAGTCCAATTTTAAATGGAACACAGAGAAGGACAATAAATCGAAGAACACCATGTCAACATCAAAAGGAAATAATTACAGTGGGTGAGACAACATTTAATTTGTATCACTAATGAAACATTTATAGAGTATACAAAAAAGATTTGAGAATAATGAAATATAAATTTTGATATTCACGATATAACCATGGCTAGATCTTCAGGCAATTTTGGTTTATTAGGATTGTTCGTAATCAACCAATTGGCAAGCCATAAGACAGGATCTGCGGGTTTTAGTTTGCAACACTGCAATTGAATTTTTAATTGTTGAGGTTCAATGAAAAAAAATTACAGAGATTGTTCTTCTTACCGTGGATAGAGCTTCTACGAGTGTAGGATTGAGTACTTCCCACAAGTAATCTTCTGCCATTTCGTTCTTCAACAGGGGCTCGATTATGACTGGAATAAAGAAATGAAATCATCGATTTGTTACTAAATAAGTAGTCTTTAATAACAATATAGTTGGTAATGTAATTCAGCAGTAACATGATAATATTAGTAATATTACTTAGCAGTATTCACAAATTATTAACAACTATAAATCCCATACAATCAGGAAAGAAGAAATGAATTTCTTTCTCAGCCTCTTCCCGATTATTGCTTCCATGAACTGCATTTTGAAAATCCTCGCCCCTCCTGCCATACCTCGCTCTTATACTATCAGGATAATACAAACGAGCCTGTGTGACCTAAAAAAACATCTCATACTTACAATTAAATTTAATTAATTGAAGCAACGTTTAATTACTTTTGTCGGTCCCATGAGCAGTTTCCACTCGTGAATGGCGCATTTTTTCGCCAAAACGTGAACGATTATGGGCCCTGAGGCCATGTAGGCGACGAGGTGTGCAAAATTCAACTGTCCATATTTGTCCGAGTAAAACTCAGACACCTGTTCAGGTGTGAGTTGCAACCATCGCGTTTGATATATCTCGAAACCTTCCTCGAATATACGCCGCTCGATCTGTTTTCTGTAAACCACTGCTTCTGGTTTTATAATCGCTAACGTGCACTCGATGTCTGGCCTTTCCTCGACTTCCTCTTCGTCGACGCAGGGCTCGAACGAGAATACCGGTGGATGCCAAAATTCTTCTTCAGCTTCCCCTAGACTCTCGTACTCTTCAGGACAGACGAACTTGTACTGTAGAATATTAAGCAGCTTATAAAAAGGTGGGTTATTTATTAATGTAGATTGCACAATCGATTGCTAGAAGAAGCAATTCTTTAATAATTCGAGTCTCAGTAATTTAAGACCTTAATGTTTAATATTATTGATTGAATGCCTCTTGGAAACCATTTTTTTTTTTTTTTACAGACTGTTTCAAAGAGTAATATTTGATATTAGTAATTAATATTTGGTAATTGTATGTAATAATTTTATTTAGCAGTATTTGTAGATTACAGGAAGTAACGCTGATTAAAAAGAAATAACATATAAAGTTTCACTAGTATTTAGAAAAATATTTTTTTCAGAAATTGTTGATTGTAGTATGTAGCAATATTTGCAGATCATTGATAGTAACGAACAGTAATTTTCTAGTTGAGAAAAATTATTTTATTATTACATTTAGAAAATTTAATAACCCAATAAAATTTAAAAGAGGAAATGTTTAATATTGTTTAAAAATCGTGAATAAAATTACCGTTTTGGTAGAACTACTACAGCTACTTGAGTTCAATTGTGATCCTTTTGGTGATCCGCAGATTCTGTATCTAAGATTTGATCGCGAGGAATCAGCGGGACTCCAGACATCTTTGTCTGAGATTGCACCACAGCTCATTGATTTGCCTATATCTTTCATCGGACGGTATGGTTCTGCACATTTTCTGAAAAGCGTCACTGTTTCCGGGATCTTCCTGGCATCATCCTCTTCGTCCCTCGGACAGTCGCACATTTTCGCGGCAATTTGAAATTGTCGGTCTATTTCTGTTAATTTTCTCCGGTGGCCGTTATCGAGGTTAAAGCCATTGACATTTAAGCAATAATATTAAAAAAACAAAAACAATTGATCGCATATATGTATGTACTGTCGCTCAAAAATTTGGAGCATGTAGGGTTCCAAAGGAAATAATATATTTATATCGTGAATTCTAGTTAATTACATTTACTACTTGCTATTTATAATTACAATTACAAATGAAAGTTATATTTTATAAAGGCGCAAAGGTGTACAAAATATATAAATGTATAGACGAAACAAATTTCTATCGAGATTAGTCTCTCGTTTCTCGGAAAAATGTACGAAAAAAATAATAATCATCGTTTTCAGATGCGTCGAAGGTGGCGGGATATAGCGAAAGCGAACCTGCTACGTCCACAGAGAAAATTACGGAAACTACAAAAATTCCAAATTACAGAAATACTGAAACGAGGGGTCCTCAAGAGGCCGCGATACTTCGCCCTAATCGGATTCGTAAAACGAGCATCTCGATGCCTAGTAATCTGGACGAAATGGAGAGTTTACGAATCGATAGGCAAAAGGTAAGTTCAAAGAATAGAAGACAGCATACGTTTGTTTCTCGTATACAGAATCTCCTTCACAAGTCAAACATCGTATATAAATAACCAATGACAATATTCTAGTGAAGGAATATGAGTAATATTATCGTTATTCTGTTACAATTATATATTTATTATGTAGTGTATGTTTATTAAATGTGATGAAGAAATTTTCAGTTGAAAATTGATTCTTTTTATTGAAGAATAATTTATTTAAATTATATTATACTTAATATCGCAATTATCAGTATATATATGTGTGTATGTGTTTACTAACATGCTACGTGAAATTTATACGTTTTGATTTTATTTTAAAAAAGGAAATATTTACCTTTTATAAAATTAAATTCATGTTAAGTTTCTAAATTTTATCTTCAAACTTGATGCTTTTCCATATATTATATTTTTCTTCTCGCAACTCTCTTTCCTTTACATTTCTATTTTCTAATATTACGACTGCAAAGAAATTCCAAAAGATTTTCCCCGATATTCATTATATCTCCTATTGTGAAATTTCAAGAAATCGAAGTATTAATATAACATAAAGTGATAAATTACTCGTTAGTCTCTAATGAGTCAAAACTCCAAATATTTCTCTTAATCTTTCCTGTTCTTTCTTCTGTTTCTCGAAATGTTATAAAAACGGAGAATCAAATGCCAAGCCGCTCGCGACTTACAATTAGACCTGTTCGTGAAAAGGCACGAGTTCTCTCAGTGATTACGTAATGTTTATCATCGTCGATGTGTGCATTCACCGTGCCGTGTCGTTCTGCGTTTCACGTGAGAGTAGGTCTCGAACGTCGTTCGAAGCGGCTGGTTTCACTTTTGCGTCGTGACTTCATTCTCCGTAACCGATTGAAGTTAGCACGATCGTAGAACAAATAATAAAATAGGAGATTTAAGTCTTATTCTCATTGGTTGTGTTCGACCATTGTTCTTAATTTTGTTACCCACGTTGCACAATGTCCAACTTTCGCAGGGAACCGCCTCGAAGTTCACGAGATCGGAGAGCGACGACAGCAGCAGCGTGACATTCAGTAATAGTGGTTCGACGCCCAATGGAAGTCCTCTTGGTTCTGAGACCGAGGAAGAGGCGAACGATGAAGAGTTGGCCAAGTATGTCCTTTTTTTTTTAAACTCACAAAAACCGATAAATTTATTAACCACTTCGTATAATCTATTTTCATAAATTGTAACTAAACGATATAGTACATTATAGTAAGTATTTACAGTATAATACAACTTAATAAAATATAATAGATGGATATGTGTTTTTAGAAATTAGATATTATATTTACTTTATGGGAAAAGTACAGTATATATGTGAAATTATGATTATCTTATTAAATACTATATTATATCACATTGTACTAACAGCTGATATTTGTACAAATTTATATTTTTATGAACATTGTTAAAATAACAGAAGCTAGGTAGAGAATTAACTGTTGGATAAGAGATATTTTATGTAATTTTAAATTTATTACGTGCATTCCTTGCATTTTTGTATCTTCATTTTCTTCACAAATGTGCGAAAAATCCACAATCTACTAGTTATATATTATATTATATTATTAATCCATTGAGGACCAAGCAATAATTCATCACAACTTAAATTTCTTTAAATTTCGTAAAATTATAGAAATTTGAGAATGAAGCGGAGAGCAATGACGATAAAAGAATATTAAATGACTCTTCTTTCGCAGCCTTGACAAATTTTCGCGCTAAAAAGAAGAGAAAATAAAAGCTTTGCCGGATGTAAATCACATCGCATCACATGTAAATTCCTCACATCACTAGTTGAAACCAGTATTCGTAGACACTGTACTCGCGACGAGTGTGAGGATCATCTTCGACCTTCCTTATATCGCTTCAGGGTTATCGCGCTACAAGTGCGATCAAGAAACTCTTCGAGTCGAGTCGTACTGGACGGCCAATCAGTTGTATTTTGTGATTCAATATCGACGAATTTTCGCGTACTTCGCGCTACAGTGTCGCGTATCTCCGTTGCAATTTTCGATGCACTTGTCCAGCGTTAACGCAGCGTTGTTTACTCTGAAGAGTTTTGTCGGCAGTCATTTTTTAAGCACGCGAACGAACGATCAACAATTCGACAGTGAATCGTACGAGAGTTGAATATAATAACTGTGTTCTCGCGAAGTTTAAAAAAAAAAAAATGATTCCTAGATACGACGTTGGCAGTGCAATGTCTCTGCAAAGGTACTGGAAAAGAAAGAAAGCAATAAGGAAGCTTTTTATTTTTCTGGGATACTTTGTTCGAAGTAGAAAAAAAAAAATTTGCAAATAACTGAAACAGAAAATTTCTCATTTCAATTGAAACGTAAGAAAAATAAGCTTTCCTCTCTTTTCCACTTTTCTGTAATGTTGTCTGTGATTTTTTTTTAGAGTGCCGTTGCAAGCTCCTCCGCGAAGAAAGAGCAGAGCCATGTCGCCGATGTTAAGCGAAAAATTAGGGAACGATCCCATGGAACTTTCTGGAGCGCAGAGCGTCAACTCCACGATAACGAGCGTTAACAGCATTAGCAGCTTACTGAAGGAAAAACTTCAGTTGTCGATCCCTCAAGCTCTGCGCAGCAGTAAGAAGAGACAGAACGCTGACTATAGGTAAACAACGTGGAAAGAACTTTAAGCGATTTTAGTTACTTCTGATTTAGAATTCAATCGTTTTTCTCGATGATTGTTCACAGACTTCGAGCTTTCGTCGGAATATTATTCCTCTGCGTCGTTTTCCTCGTGGGGTTTGCGCATATTTATTACACTCAACATGTTCTTCAACGAGCCTATTTCGATAAATTCAGGTACGTGAAGAAACGCGGTGTTTTATCAAGTTAAACTGGGATGATTCATATTTTTCGATGAAGTTAGTTAAATAGAAACAGACGTTTATTTAGATTATAATTTTTACCAGAGTGTACAATTTAAAAAGTTAATTGAAACGAGTATTGTATTTTAGATTCGTTCGTATATTTCTGCTTGTTGCATGGTTTCCACGCATCTTCAAATTTTGTTATTCAGTAAAATACGAGTGTCGAAGCGTATCATTTTTCAGGTTCAACAAAAACGAGCGAGTGATGCACGTGTACAGCAGTACCGGTGCGGAGGTGATCGCAGCGCGTCTTGGCAACGATATACCAGCCGACACCGGTGTTTTCTCCTGTCTGTCTCATTACCAGAAACAAGACTCAGTTTGCCTGGAGTGGCTTCAACAAGCACGCTTGTATCTCGCTCACACGAAACACGCGGACATGCACTGTTATCATATCACCTGGCAGAGCTTGAACTCGTACTACAGTCCGAAAGATTGCTTCGACTGGTCGCCGAAAAGAGGCCACTGGTACGGCGGAGGCCAAGTGCAAAACATGCCCTACCCCCTCGAACGTGGACGACTCGATTTAAGTCCCTTTGTCACCGGCGACATTACCAAACATCCTTTCGGCAATGTGCTCAAGAGGTACTTCTTAAACTCGAAAGGTGCTACTATACTGGTCGATCCAGAGACTCCTCTCTACGTGTCCATTAACGCGAACAGGAGCAACAATTTCTGCTTGCAAGCGAAGCACGACGCGTTCGCGTACATCAATCACCTGACACCATTGCCTCAGTTGAACTACACCATCTGTGCTACCGATAACATGAAGATCTTGCACTCTTCCATGGCCGAGAAGTCCTTGTGGGATGGCTTGAAACCGGATGAGTTGAACGCGGTTCATTCGCTGTTGTCCGAGCCAGTCTGGCAAATTTCGCCCACCAGCGAGGCAGCAGTTTACAATTACACGGAAGATGTGATTGCCTTGGGCTTTCTGAAACAAGGACACGTTTTGTTGAGCGAGGAGTGGCAACCTAGTGCTGGTGATTTCGTGTTGGACGAGGAGAGATTCACCTCGATGGAAGAGACTATTAATATCATTCACCGTCGCGGGTTCAGGATCGTGTTCACTATACAGCCGTTCATATCCACAGAGTCCATTAATTTTCGAGACGCGGTGTCGAACAGGCTGTTGATCTCCGAGAGAGGAAGCGATCCTAGAATACCTGCTTTGACTAGGTAAAACTTGTAGTAAAACTTAATTATACATTGGTCAGAGCCCACATTGATCAATTTCGTAAATTAAAACACGTAAAATATTGATAATTACAAATATTAGGATTTAAAATATTATAATATTATAATATTAGGAATTTAAAATTAATAACTTTATACTATTCTATATTTATACAATATATACTTTAATGCTACTCTAACTTTTGAGAATAATCCTAATTCGTTGCTCACAGAAGCTACAGATCATCATGAAAGTGTAAAAGTGCAACGGACGTATAAAATAATGCAATAAATAATTTCGTTTGCAGGTACAAACAGAGTAACAGCGTGGGCGTCCTGGACATCACGAATAACAAGACCTTACCTTGGCTGCAGTCCAAGCTGGAAAGTCTGATCATGAAGTATCACGTGGACTCGTTCTACTTGGATTTAGGCACCGCGCAAGACATGCCTCACTACTACAAATGCGAGCAACCGCTGACAAATCCGGATCATTACAAAACGCTGTTCACAAAATCGATTTTGGGATCCGTGCCCGTGATCGGTGTGTCAGGCGCGATTTCCAGGCCACGTGCACCAGTCTTCGTTTCCCTCCCGCCGTTCTCCTCCTCCTGGAAAGCCATCAAAACAGTCATACCCACAGTTCTGACTTACGGAATGATTGGTTATCCGTTTATCATGCCAGGAGCTGTCGGCGGAGACGTGGCCTTGCCCATGTCCGATAACAATCCTGACAACGACTTCGAGGTGAATCTACCAGACAAGGAATTGTACATCAGATGGCTGCAGCTGTCCACGTTTCTACCGGTGATACGTTTCACTCATTTGCCGAGTAAATACTCGGACGACTCTGTGCTGGAGATCGCCAAGAGATTGACAGAGCTAAGGCAGAAAACGGTGACGCCGATGCTGAAGAAATACGCGAAGGAAACGCTTAACACTGGCCTGCCGATTATACGACCGTTGTGGATGCTGGACCCGGCGGATCCAGCTTGCCACGTTGTCGTCGATGAATTCTCCGTGGGCGAAGAGCTGATTGTAGCGCCTGTACTTTACTCCGGTAGCAGGCAGAGGGAGGTTTATCTACCTGCAGGAGTGTGGCGAGACGGAATCGACGGTAGCCTTAGAAAAGGATCTAGGTGGATTCATAATTACAGAGTCGCCGAGGATAAGGTTGCGTACTTCGTGAAAATGCCAGACAACACGAGATTTTGAAAATTGACTTTCAACTTTGCAAAAGAGTGGTCCTGTTGGAAGTATCAGAGAAGAGGGATCGGTGCGATTTTTACGGGACGAGTTTTTATGCGATTTTTACGGGGATGATCGTTTTAAAAACGGAACTTGACTAGAAGATTATTTTATTTTATTAGACATTCTCCAATTTTTTTCATAAAACTCCGGCGATCAATTACAATTTTAAAGATCGAATAAGAATCGAAGAAAAGATTGCGGGTGAAGGGGGGAGAATATAAAAAAAAAGGACCAAAAAAATGTCGAAGCTTGGATTGTTTCGTTTTACGAATTTACAGATTGAGACTACGAATGGCTGACGAAGAATTTTATGGGCAGCTTTAAGTTTGTCACCCTGAAAGTATTTATTTCTTTATATATCAAAATATATTTATTTTATTTTAGTCGTGCGTGTTTCATTCATAAAATCTCACGTTCTTTCAGACTCGAATTATTATAAATAGGAGATGACGATACTAGTAAACTAAAGATCTATTTCTTTCGTCAACGTGACATGAAGCACGTTTTCTTTTTTTTTTTTTTTTTTTTTTTTTTTTTTTTTTTTAATAGTAAAGAACTATTTGATGGTGAAAGTTCGACGTCGTTAAAAATCGATCCTGGAAAAATCTTCACGATGTCGTTCCCAAATTCTGCTTCTCCTCGTGTTGCTGTTGCTGCTGCTGTCGTTCTTCCACCCTTTGCTCCACTGCACCCGAATGCGATTGAAACGGAGGTAACGATTGCCTCGGTGAATACTCGTCCAGAAACTTCTGCAGATCGCACAACTTTTTGAACTCGTCCTGAATATGTTGCATGTGCTTCCAGCGGAGGTTCTTCAAATGTTTGATACATTCAGCCGGTGTTTCGTGATGGGTTGACAGATCCTCGCAACAGTCACCGCGCAACGCGCGTATTATTTCTATGGAGAATCCTTCTTCTGTTAATTCTCGGTTCGATTCCTCGTTCTGAAAGATAGCGAAGAAGAGTTCAGATATATTGTAAGAAAAAATATTTGATGAAATTCCCGAAAGTGTTCTGATCTGGATGATTGTAATTTTATCATTTTGCTATCGTAGAATAAAAAAAACTCATTCTTTAAATTTCAGTCAGCAGTGACAACTGAAATTAAATTTTAAATGTTGATGAAACTTTTGGGTCTCGACACTTGTGAAAAATTCTATTCCTTCATAATTTTCAGTCAAATCAGAGCCTGAACATTTTCAGAAATACAGCCAAATATTTTGTGCCCAAACGATGGCTCGTCAAATCATTTGAGATCGAGTGAAAACCTTTGGCTGACCCGGCGACATGGCGAATTTCTTGCTGAGAACTCGATCGATCAGATCGACGATGTAAGTTTTGGTCGCGCGAAGATCCAGATCGAGATCGAGATCTCCGCCTGCGTAAATGTTCTTCCTGTTAGGAGATTCGTGGTCCTCGTCCTTAACTGCCAGCTCGCAGCACGAGCTTTCGTCTCTACTCTCTTCAGAATTGCTGGTCGATTCTTTGCCAGGACTTCGAGGAGAATTTTGCCGAATAGAAGATCGCTGGGGTGGTTTGCAAATTAATCGATTCTCCACTTTTTTCGGCAGATTCCCCTCTTTCGTATAATCATTCGCGTCTATTGGCAGAACTTTATGCTTGGACTGGAATATTGTCAAATGTTCGAGAATGAAAGTATGAATTTTAATCGTATAAATATATATATATATTTTAATATAATAGTATATATTATATAATAGTATACATATTATATATTAGCATAATAATGCTATTATTAGCATTATAACTATTATACTAATATGTTATTATCAGATTTACACTATTATACATTTCCTAAAAGTTATCACTTATTTATTTTGATTTCTCCTTCCTTTAGACGAAAACAAAATACTGTAATCTCTCTTTAAGATGTCCAGAGAGCAATGAAATGAGAATTTTGCAAAAATATTCAATTAATCTTTAAAACATTCGAATTTTATTTTGGTCTCAAATTGAACAGCGTCGTTCTAGAATTGAACACCTACCAGATCCTCAAGATTTCTATTCTTCGAGGAAATCTGCGAGCCACAGCCTTTTAAAATAGAGACTTTATTCGATTGAACGTTAGGTTTACTTTTCCCTTGCGCGTTTCGATCATTCTCAAAGCCTTCCTCCTCCATTTTATTCGCACCCTCGTGTTTGGATAAATTGAATCTCAATCTGCCTCTTGTGTATAACCAGCCATCGTTCTTATGGTCTCCGAAATCGTATCTCTCGTCCACGTTTATTCTATTCACCTTATCAACGTGATGTCTCGTTGTTCGTGGTTCTGGTTTTAAAGTTCGCTCCTTCTTGTGCTGCGTACACTTTTCCACAGTTTCGTTGTCCACGTCTATGGTCTTCATAATTCCCGCCATCGCCTATTATTGCATTTTAGAAACGTAACTGTGAATGTTTAAGTAAATTCATTATATTGCCTATCTATTTATTTATTTATTATAATAATTGGGATAGAGATTATTAATATATTATTAAAAATATATTATTCGAAAGTATGTTGAATAGAATTTGCAAAAATATTTATTTGTACATTTCGTAAATTGAACGGAGTGTTTCAAGAAATTAATTGTTTTTTGCAAATGGGAATTTATGGTCATTGGATTTTGTGTTTTTGTGGACAGGTGCTCTACAATTTACGTCTGTCAAGATTTCTTCAATGGATTAACAATAAATACGAAACCTTTCAAACTTGATTTTTAATTCAAAAAGCACCACTTGAAAACTTTGACATGCTAAATAAATCCTTTAAACTCCCTCCCCCAAGACTTCCAAGATTCAATTGTCTCTACCTGATCGTCTCCCCTCATGTAACAATCCTCTTTTTTGCAGTTGTTCTTCAGAGATCGCGGGTACTCGCAATAGAAGTTCCCATTGTCATTTCCATGCAACGAATTTTTCGTGATCGAGAGGATTTGCTCCTGCTCGTTCCTGCATTGACGTCGGTGTCGGCTCGTTTGTCTCTTTCGTGGTTGGTAATGCGCGTAAGCCGCGTTGTTACACGGCTGAACACCGTACAATCTCGGCGACAGCGGGCTGCTCTGCGATCTCTTGAACGTTTGATTCGCTGGATGTGTCAACAAGTGTTCGTATTCGTTCAGAACGGCGTCCATGTTCTTGGAACAGCTGGCGAAACGAATCGTTCTAATTTCGAATCGGACGAGATTTGACGAGTTAAACGTACTTTGTTCTGCCGATTGAATATTTCACCGCTTCGGGCGGACAGTGACAGGAAGGGCAGTGTTGCACATGATCTTTCGTTCTTCTCGCGCGTCTCCTACCGAATTCCGTTGGGGGAAGCTCCCATGGTTGGTTACATTTTAAGCAACACTTGTGTTTCAGGTCGTGATAGGATTCTGCTTGTTTTCGTCGCACATCGTGGTATTTCTGCACCGGGTAGCATTCCTCAGTCTCCTAAAGAGTTCGATTAAACCTTGAATTAATTACCTTGACGCTTTTCAAACTTGTGCTGAGATTTATTCTTTTTGCCATAAAAAGCTCGACCTCCTATAATCAATTTCACTGTTTATTTCAAAACTCACTTCAATACTACAAATACATTCAAATATACAATGCAACGAATATCGTACGCTACAATATACTAAAATGTCAATGCCAATATTTGCATTTAAGGGTTAAATAAACGAGCGAAACCTAACCGTTTCTGTGTCTGGTCGTTCCATCATCTTGTCGACATCAGAATCTTCCGTAAAATTTGCACCTGCCCGCGTCCCGGACAACCCGGATTCCCGCAAAATCAAATTGACCTCCGTTCATAATAAGATCTGCTGTTGCGTCTAACGTTCCTCTGCCATCGAAGAAAATTAGCAAAAAGAAAAGGAGAAGGCGTAGAAATGTGGAGAAGAGGAAGTCTGCGCTCTGGTGTAAAAATCGCGGAACGTGTGCCGAAAAGAAAAATTGACTCGCAACGTTTTACTGAAAACTCCGGAGCCAAAGTAGGCATTGGAAATTTTGCAATGACTGGAATACTTTGAAATGAACTTTGGAATGAATTTTGAAATATTTCGACGACAAACTGGGCGGATAAATAAAGGGGGAAAACTGAGAATAAAATTTTATAGAATAAATCTTATTATAAATCAATGCGATTTATCTTCAATTTTTTTTTTAACGCAACTTAACATTTCATTTTATTATAACTTTATTGTGTATATTTATTACACAATAAAATAAATTTCTTTACATTTTATCGCGTGTATTAACATACATTTCAATAGATCATTATATATATATAATATTATCTACATTATCTACTTCTCCCATTTTATTGCGTTATTATTCATAATTGATAGGATTGTCGCGTGCAGTGTCTCTTGTCGATCAATAAAAATCCTGACGAATTAGATGAAAAACGATTGTAACGCGAATCTTTCCCCCGTATTACGTAGAAACATTCATTCTATTCATCCGCGTGGTTCTGACTGAGAACAACATTTACATTTGCAAACTGAAGAAAAAAAAGAAAAAAATCAGAAATGTCAAAAAATACACTAGAAAAGACGCTTGAGAAAAATAATTGTTTCTTCGAAAATGAAATATTACCCGATTTTCAAACACGTTGGAGAGCTACGTTGAAACAACAGGAATCTATACCCGATAATTATCCAAATCGCATTGGCATGCCGACTATTAATGCGAAATCGAACGCGGGAAAATATTTCGTAGAATTCGCAAGTTCTTCGACTGTGCATGGTTTGAATCATTTGGTAGCACGAAACAGACACCCAGTTGAAATGTAAGTGCCTTAGATGAGACATTTATAGTGAGAAAATAATAGCATTGCAATAAGATTTACAAAATATTTATGTTACAAGAGTCTTAACTGCGTTCTTCGTTCTTGGTGCTCTATTGTGCCTGATCATTCTGTCGTCACTTTTCTGGGATCGTTACCAGAATAATGCTACAGTCATCGTGGTGGATAACAATCGAGATGAATTCGAAATATTGAAGCCAGCTCTATTTATTTGTCCGATAACAAACGTGAACTTAACGGAGATCCCAGACGTGTTCAAAAAGTAAAATCTTTATTCTTATAATTAGACCATGGATTTTTAAGCAAACTGAGAATTTAAAAAATAGAAGTTTGAAGTAGAAAAATATAAAAGCTAAATAGAAAGTTTTATTAATGTATTATACTACTACTGCTTTGAATATTTTATATATTTCTGCATATTATATGCATCCTTCCCATCTCTCCACCTTCTAATAAATGCATAAAAATCCACAGTCTACAACAGTATCCAGACAAAATGATAATATTCTTTTACTAATAATAACACATGAAATATTTAGACATGGTGTCGAACATACGCCAGAAACAGAAGAGTTCTTCGTCTTTCTTGGCAATCTCACTTACGAGAACATAATGGATACACCAATGTTCGATAAAGTTCCAGCGAACAAGTGGCTGGAAATCCTCTACGACTTGAGAAAGCATATTCCTTCGAATGTTCTGAAAGAGAACGACCCGTACGAAACTTGGGTGGTGACAGAAAGAGGAGTGTGCCTTGCAACGAGGAGCGTCTTTGCAGTCTACGCTACTTTGAAGTGAGTATTTTTCTCTATCGTCTGTTACTTGAATCAATATTAATTGAACTCGATTGTACGACTCTTTTACATGTAACAAGCTACTGGAAAACTGATAATTGGACTATTATTCCTGAACCAGACAAATTGCCATCGTACGATTACAGCATCGACGGTGTACAAGAAAATGTTCATGTGGATCACACGGTTCTGGTACAAATTTGTTTCTATTCATCTTGAAAATATAAACGTGACATTATATTACTTTTTTTTATCTCAGACCGCTATACACGATCCTTTTGATCTGATAACATACAATACTGTAATGAAGGAGATGAAACAAAAGACGATACTAGGTGCTACCATGTCGATGTCTAAGATTAAGACAAAACAAAACGTCAAAGACCTTAGTGTCCATCAAAGGAAATGCAAATTCTTCAACGATGGCGGATTAAAAACTTGGCCGGTTTATACGACGAACATGTGCGTCATGGAGTGCAGGATGAAAGTGATACAGGATAAATGCAACTGTCGTCCGCATTTTGCCAGATCCATTGGTCCGTGATCAATAATTAAAATCAATAATATAATAGAACGATCGAATAAATTTAATATCTTCAGCTAAATATAAATTTAATATTTTTTGTAGAAGGTGTAAGCACGTGCAACGCAATGCAGCTTCGTTGCATTGGTAAAGTGACGAAGAGCCTTTTCCTGTCTGAAACTCCGCCCCCTTCTTGTCAGTGTGTTCCAAAATGCGACAACATTTCCTATCAAATCAAAAGTAGCGCGAATGCCGAAATGTATCTATCGAAGAAAAATATCAAATCGCATTATAACAAGAGATAAAGAATATGTAAGGAAACAAAGTTCTTCAAATTGTTTCAGAAACCAGATACCGACAAACTCATCCCACATGACTTTAATCGTTCAGCTACCGCAAATTATCTATTATCGATCGCTGTTGTACGGCTTTACCGACTTTCTAAGTACGTATCCGTAAGTAAATACACATCGTACTGAGTGACATTAATATTTTAAATGTAAGATATATTTCTCGAAAAATTAACATAAAGAAGTACTTGATTAATATAAAGAATAAAAATTTTTGTAAACAAACAAATTCATCGCAGCTAGCGTCGGAGGTGCGGCAGGACTGTTTCTAGGGGCTAGTGTGTTATCCTTCGTTGAAATATTCTATTACGGCACCGTACATCTGTGCTTCTATATGAAACAAATCATACAAAAACGCAATCAGTATATCATGTAACATCAGCTAAGAAAATCTTCACTTTACAAGGAACAGTCGTTTAAGATGCACAAACGCAAGGTATTTAAAAAATATTGTTTATTGTAAACATGTTACCTCTTTCCGATGGGACACAATGTAAAATAAATATCATCACATACACGTACAACTGTACACGCAACGAGTCGAAACCGCACAATGATTGTACATCAATTTACAAAGAGAATTAAGAGCGGAATTACTTCTCGTTTTGATTTAACTTTTTCATATCGATGTTAAGACTAGCTAGAAGGACGCTAAAATGTCACTGAATGGAGTTCCAGGCTCCTTTGCCGCTGCTTCGAAAGTTTCCACGAAAGCAGCTTTCTGGGCGTCCTTGGATAACTGTTAAGATAAAACGAGGTTACTTGACGCTACAAGCAGATTATAGTAGATAAAATTGTATACCTTTCGATAGAAATCCGAAGCAGCGATGCACAATATTTTCTTATCCTCGTATTCGTATTTTCCAATCCTTGATTGGACATAGGGAAACCTGAGTAGAATGTTAAGGAACATGTTTTGACAAAAATGATAAATTATTAGATGTGTGAAACAGTGGTGGAAGGATACAATGCTCTCAGCCATTGATTCGTAGATGTACTGATAAAAAAACAAGATAAGCACCATGTCGACATCGTAATTGGCAAACTCTGAATGAAGTTTGGTAAACTAAATACAACCCAGTCTTGAAGAAGTTCCATTTGGGCGCAAGTGCACGCTCTTTCGCATACCTGCGAGAGAAAAAAAAATCATTAATCTAAATTATTTGCAACACATTGAGTTAATTGCATAACTTTTCGCTAACTTTCCAATTTAATTGTAAAAATAATCGCATCGATTTTTGCATAGAATAATAACAAATTAACAATGTATTAATGTTCAATTATTTCTACTATACTGTTACACACGGTAATACAAACTTTAAAAACAACGGCGGAAAGTAACCGCGGATGAGGTTGTTGCGGCGACAAAAATTCTCCTATGACTTTAGTCAGAATTTCCGATGGCGGGAAGAAATCCCCGAGTACACCGGACAAAACTGTACATAAAAGCTCCACTTCCATGGAGTGTCCTCTTCTGATCTTGTCGAAAATCGCCGAAGTGCGCTCTATGGATCGAACTAATGCCTCTGGTTCCACGTCCGGTAATGGTTCTTCCGTCTCTGGTTGATTTAATCTGTCTGCTGCTTCCGTATACATGCAAGTCAACAACAATTGTAAGGCTGGCAGCGACAACATGGGACTAGGTTGTTTTAAGCGATCGATCGCTACTTTTACTATCTGCTCGGCTACTTTTCCAATCACGCTTTTGGTTGCTACGAGTCGCTCGAGCCCCTATCGATTACATTACAGGTACAATGTTACAAATATGCATAATTTAAACATTTAGGGAACCCAGTAGAACCTCATGAAATAATTGAATAAATATACCTGCAAGAGTGTTTGATGCAAACTACAAGAAATATTTTGCGATGTAAGTAAAGTAAGGACCAATTCCAACACAGCTGGAGCTTCCGTGTCTGGCGGAGTGTCTTCAGCATGTTCCAGTAAAAAAAATACCAGAGCCCACATCACACCCTGATGCTCTTCACTTTGACTTAATACACTAAGTTGAATAAGTAATTAATTTCAACGAAACGCGTGTATCGTAAAATATACACGACAAAAGTGTGATTTACCCATTCAGATCTTGTGCATCCAGATGTTTCTGTATGTACTCTATCGCTAACGGATGTATAATATTCATTGTCTCCTCGCAATCTGCAAGCACAGCGCTTTGCAACAGATACAACGAGCCGTGGAGGGCGGATACCTTTGCGGGTAAGAAACTCGATTTAAGATTCGCGTCTACTAAACGTTTAACTTTATCCAACGTTTCAAAGTCCTGGAAAACATAATACAGATCATAAAAGATAAAATCTTGAGAATGTTACAATCTCTAAAATAATATTTTTGAAGAATATGTACCAACGGTGTCAGCACTGCAGCAGCTTTGCACACAGAGACCACTAAATATTGATGTAAAATAACATTCTCTGTTGGATGAATTCTTGAGAGTTCTAAGCACATGTCCAACATCCATTGATACTGTGTTCTTTCCACAAATAATTCAGAAATTGCCAGAATAGACTTAATAACTTCAGTGAGTAATTGTATAGATGTGTTAGCTTGCGGAGACATCCAGCACGTGTAAAGTTCTATCAAGAAACGAAGACAGGAATCCAAATCAAGAGATGCAGACATTAACGCGTCGTTTCTTCTGTTCTTCAAATTGAGGACGGAGGCGTTCAACTTGTCCTCGTACAAGTTGCACAACGACCATAAATAGGATACAGAGAGTTGACTGTACATATATTTGTTCAAGTTCGCAACTCTTTCCACGTTTCCTCGATGGAAGATGTGATCCATATTCAAACTGTCAACTGTCTCCAAGTCGTTCATACACTCATACTTCCACGTGAGCAAATCTTGAACCGCGTACAATTTTTGAGAGCTAATTTTATGAACTGATAGTTGAGGATCTCTTGGATAATGAATCACAGCGCTGGCCCTTGGATTACCAGGGTAAGGAAGAAGCAGAGTTTGCAATAACAATTTCGTAATTGCCTGTACGGCTAAACTGCTGGCTTGAATCAACGCTGGTATGTCTTCCGTGGACACGTTCTCGTTCTGTGAAAGATTAAACATTCCTAAAAGAGCCATCCACATCTCTTCGAATTGCAGCCGAGAGACCCAACCTAACAGGTTTATCCTGTAAATGAACTGCTCCAAAATTTCAACCTCCTGAAGAAGATTCGACTCGGAGGACAACAATGGAAAGTAACATTTAGTCGGACCCGAACCAACGATGTTCCAATTTTGCTTCCAAACCAATGGTGGTATTAAGATGTAAGAATTCACCAGCGGTTGACGACTGATACTTACGATTAGATCTTGTATTGTGTTGAATAAGTAGCGTGGAATATTTGTGGATAATTGTTTCTTCTGACATTGTTCCAACCAAGCGACAAGACCGGCCATTCGTGTGCAAGCATGAGCAAAGTCTCTGGTAGCCTCGTCTTCCAATGCTGGCTCCAAAGCAATTGCATCTATAACTGGCAAAGCATCCACAGTCGATAACAGGTATTCTACTACTCTCTTCAACGAAGCAGCACTGCTACAAACCCACGAAAACCTCGCATTTTCTCCAAAAATTTTATTTGGACCAGGATGCTTTAGAATCTCTGACGCACAGCTTAATGCAAGCTCCATGTTCTTTGGTCTCAATTTCTTCGTTCTTTTCTCGTCACAATGTACCATCCAGTGTATCAGCTCGAGGCAAAGCATTGCAAACTTGGCCAGATCTTCCTCAGATTTCTTATCGATTTTCGCTAAATTATACTTGGCTAGCTTTGGCAATGTTTTCACGTATATCTTCACAGCTGGTATTAACTGGAAAAGTACATCCCAATATATCGACTCGCTTAAAAGTTCGTCAAGACGATGTGCATATTTCAACTCTCTCGAATTGCCATTCGACTGCGTTGGATTGTAAATTTGATGCGGTTTTGGTATCAAATCGCTGACGTAATGGACGTGCTCCAATAAACATTGTTTCGCAGCGCTGTACAAGGGACTAGTCTCGAAGTTAAAATCCTTTTCATTCTGTGTTACGCCGAACTCTAACTTTTGGCACTTCTCCACGCTCATTCGTACGCCCAGTATTATGCAGGGTTTCAATATCGAAATATTGAACTCTTTGGAAGACAGAATACCAAAACAATCATCGAAATCCAGTATTCTTAATAACTGCGCTGCTTCCGACAAATTGTTGCCAGCATTGGGATTACAGCATCGTAATCTTACTTGAGACAAAAACCAATTACGATCCAGTTGAATACTTTTCACGGTGGATGGATTGAACGGTCTACATTGGTCGAGCTCCAGAGGAGACAAGTCGTAATATTGCACTCCTAATTTGTTTAACAGACTGACCAATCCACCGTATTTCTTAGCTAACTTGGTCACTTGTAAAATCTCTATGATCTTGCTGAAGTCCTCTTTTGATAATTGCTTCGTCACATCAGCAACAGGAGTGGTCAGTAAAATCTCCACTCTTCGACTAGCTATTTTCGCCGCCATTCTAGACAGAGCGAGATATTTGGTGGATAATAATCTCGGTATTAATGTCATTAAGACAGCTCCACTTTGAGAATGATGAGCACCTTCCATACATTCCAGGAGTCGTTTAACGAAACTGGGTTGTGACAAGTCTGTGCATTTAGTTGCGATTGCTTGTACCAACAATCCACTAGCCGCAGGATTTCTATGTATAGCTGTCGTCAATAGGTCTCTAACAGGGGATTCGATGGCACTATTTACTGTTTCTTCTGTATGATTGACTAGCAACCATGTTAAAGGTTCTGCATCGCTCAGATTCTCACAGACGTAATCACAGAATAATATAATGCCACCTTTTCTAATAATTTGAATATTAATGCTGCTAGCATGATCCACGTTCTTCTCTTCACTCGGAGAACAATGCACGACGTACTCTGTCCGACGAGTGCCTAATATTTTGGACCAAAAATTCATTTCATTGTACCCTAATAAAGTCATTAAGTAAGCCCACTGGCAAGTTAACGCTGGACACTTGTTCCCAATATTTAACATTAAATAATTTAAATCGGAGATCGGCAGCTTTTCCTCTTCGAGAACGTTACGACCTTGGATCATTTGTATAACAGCGTTTGCTACTTTGCAGTGGCTTCCAGACTCGAACATATGGATGCATAATTGCAGGAAGAATGCAAACTGATGGATTAAATAGGAATCATTTTCCATTGATTCGGAAAATGTAACGTACGGATCGCTGAGTTTATGATCAATCAATCCAAGAAAATTGTAAACCTTACAACCCACTAAATTAATAACTTTAAATATAAATCTAGCCAATATTCTTTCTGGCGGTACTTCGGCTGACTGACTGTCCAAAACATTCAGAGGATCCATAGTCTGAGATTTTGGATGAAAAAATGATTGAGACAGTTCAGACATATTTGTACTCAAGTCAGAAAGCCGGGCAAGCATTGCTTCTTCTTTCGAGCATGCTATCAAAGCTAACAAAACAACATTTACCATTCCTAACCATCGTTTTAACCTCAGAATTGAAGTATCCAGAGAGTCAGGTTTAACAAGAAGTACTTTTAAAAGAGGATCGACTGGTCTAAACACCGTGGGAGAAATAGCTGCAAATAATTTAACCAAAGCTACGTGTGCTTTCTCCGATTCTACACGTACTTTTCCTGCTGCCAGCATAGGAAGGACAGAGTCCATTGTCAATCTGGACCATCTTCTCCATTTTTCCTCTCCATTACCATCTCCGCTGAATCTAGACTCCGTTAAACATAATGCCAAGAGCTCGATGATTTGATAATATTCCACAAGACGTAAAAGCATCGAAATTAAGACTTCTCTTGTTGTCTCAAGCTCTCTTTGTTCCACTGGGTTTGAACTTGCGTTTCTAATCAAAAATACATCTTCTACTACTGGAGCCAGAGCTGGTATACAATGTGTGAGCGCTGGCTGACCACTTGCCATAAGTCCGTCGCATAGCTGTATTATCTTTGGAATTCCTATTATGGCTTTCGAATGATTTTTCTCATATGACAAATGAACCAAAAAATTGAAAATCTTTGGCAATAGATCCTCTGTTTGTTTCACGTGGCCTTCCTCGATAAATTCGAACTGCTTTAATACA